CTACACTTTTGGTTCCTTTGTCTATATAGTTTTATTTTTAATTTTTTTTTTGTATTTTGATATTTTAAAAAAGGCAACTTCAATGTCGATTTAATACCAAGAATTAATCAATGATTTTCAAATATGTGTGTTAATTGCTAAATACATTGAATTTTTTTTTTAAATTTTGATTTTTTTTGAAATGATCCTGAAAATGATGCAAATATATCAAGAACATATATTTTTTGAGTTTTTGTATTTTGAAAATATTTAGATAAAATAATTGGAGTAAAAAATTAAGTTATGACAACAGGTAACATGAGTTGGCATTTTATGGTAGCAAGCTAGATAGACAGTATGCTATTCAAGTATTGTTTAAGTCATTTGTTAAATAAAAAAACTTGACTCCACCGAATTGTGTTTGTTTAGTATTTAAGAAATTTCTATTTTAAAGATAATGAAAAATCAATGGTTTATCTATCTATTTGCATTATCAGGATGGATACATAAATATCAATGATCTTGTTGATATTGTTAAGTAACATTTTCAATATCAGGTAACGTGTCAATTCAACAACAGACAACATATTCCAAATGATATCAATATGAGTGAAGCTTTGTACATTATAACTAGTTAGGGTAAAACTGATGATTATAATTGGTTAAGTTGCATTGAAGTTTATATATTACAGTGGGATGCATGAAAAAATGAGATATTTAAAAATATGCATCTTGTGATTACAAATGAGTAGTATTTGATTTGGTACATGAATATTACACATCTAGTCATTAGTTTGGATTCCAAGTATGTTCCTTAGCATGTCTAGTAGCTTCAAAATATCATAAATAATCTAATATATTATAATTAATATATGTTAAACATTGATTTTTATATATTGATCTTTTAATTTAAAATTAATGTTTTATAAATATTAGGTTGACTTTATGCTATAGGAGGGTTAAAAGACTATATTTGTGCTTTGCAATATTGATAAAAAAAAAAGTTACATCTATGAATCCCAATTGTTAAATGTTTGTTGCATTGAATTTGAAACCTTTAAAAAAATATTAACTCGTGGTGATATCATGGTAGAGAATAAGGTCATTTGAGCAAGTATAAAAACTTAGATCCAATCATACTATTAATAAGCCTGGATCATCCAATAGATATTGTAGATATAGATAGATAGATAAGTTGTATTTATAAATTTTGGAATTTCAATTACTTGAATATTGCATTATTTAAATAATTGAAATTTATTTGTCATGTATATATGTTTTCTTATTTGCACTTGTGGGCTACTTATAATTATGAAATATGAGATTTTGTTGAGTTTGGTAAAAATTTGTTGAGTTTGGTTATTATGGATTTTTATAGGTTTTTTTAAATGAAATTTTTTTTTAAATATAATTCTTACATAGAAAAAACACTTTCCCAATCTTGTTAAAAATATAAAATTTTTAACTCACTAAAATTATTAACTAAATTAAATATTATATTAAAAATAAATAATAAGTTCATTTATTTTTTTATTAGATTTAGATATGGCAGAACCCTCACTACATATCTTTTAACTCAACTGGTTAGTCAATTAAGATAATTGTATAAATCGAACAAGGAAATTGTATAAATTTATTGATTGGTTTATATAAAAACTATAATTTTATTAAAAAAAAATTTCAAAATATATTTTATGAGTTAAAATATATATCATTTTCTAACTTCTAGACTCAAGAATAAATTTTAGTCAAAATCTTATGAAATTATTTTTCATATATTAGTTTGTTTTTGTTTTTCAAAGTCAATCCATAATTTAATTAATGTAGTGATCATAAATTACACTATTAATTATAATTTTTTAATGTTTTCAGAATCATAATAAAATTATAATTGTTATCCCAATTTATAAACATCATATTTAATTAAATATCACCTCTTTAAACTGTGACATAAATAAAATTATTTGTTGTTGCCGTGTTAATTCGCTTTTCTTTTTTATTTTGAATACTAAAAGCATCTCCAATCTAAAATGCTATTTTGAAAAGCTAAATTGATAAAATAACATTATGAATAGTATAAATATAGCTTATTTTACCATATCTATTCCAATGAAAAAAAGCCATTTAAAGAGCTATTTATATTAGAGTAAAAAAAACAAGTATTTTATTATTTCTTAATATGTTTAATGTTATTTTTTTCCACATGTCTATATTTAATTGGTCTATTTTTTTAGTGGTCCCACTTTATTAGTTTTGGCTCTTTGAAAAGATATGTAGAAATAACATTTGTGGAAGAGAAAAGACATTTTAGTATTTTGTTTAACTTCTCTTTTAAAATGTACAAAATAAATAAAAAAAATCAAAATATTAATTTTTTATTTTTAACTATCCATTTACCTTCTCCGAGTTGCTCTAACTGCCCAAATCCTGAGCTCCCGTAACCTCAACGATGGGTCCCAGATAAACAGGAGGCCAGAAACAACCTTAATAATAATAATAATAATAATAATAATATTAATAAGGACACGGGATACACATGCGGGGGCAAAAGAACGAGTAAGAAAAAATTGCTGCTTTGTTAACCTATTTGGACACCCACAACAAGCAGAAGAAACGCATACGCCGCGTAAACAAAAGAAAAGGGCAAGGGAAGAGAAAAGAAAAGAGGACGCCAACACTTGAAGGTTTCCTTCCTTCCTTGCATGAATACTTACCAAAAAAAGCATGCAAAATTGCCTCTCACACCCTTGCAGTCTCACTCTCCATCTATAACTCTTCCAGTCAACAATATTTCCCTTTGCATACAAACTCTACTAACACCAGTAAAATGTCTCCATAACAATCTTCTTCTCCGATCAAATCACCAATTTTCCTCTCAAAACTTGTATTTAACCCATAACCCTCCCAACCCTTATCTGCCTCTTTCTCGCTTCTTTTATCTTTTCATCCTGAATTATGGACCCTTACCACCACCACCAGCAGCAGCAGCGCCGCAGATTTCTTGCTGGAACGGCGCCGTTTTCCCCTGAGACTCCCTTTTCCCGTTTAATCGATCAAAGCCTTGCGAGCCCTGAAACTTCTACTCAAAACCCCTACCTAGAAACTCTTGAATCTGTCTTCTTAAGACTCAATGTATCTCATGATAATCAAACTTTATATTCAGGTTCTCATGACAATATCTTTAATGGGTCCGTTGTAGATTTTAAAATTTTGGATGGTCTTGCCTCTCGCGGCCTGGTTGGTTTTTTGCCAACCCAAAACAATGAGATAAATGCTTTCGGGGCTACGAGGGTTCAAGATTTTGTTCACAATCCAATGATGGCTGGTTCTAATTCTGATTTGAGGAGTAACACTTTCGTTTATGGTGGTGCGTATCAAAATCCAAACCTTAACAACCGGAGAGGATTAATGCAAAGAGAATCGCATTATGGGTCGATGAATAATGTTTTGGTGTCTAAAAGCCAGAATTATGGGAGGAGGCCACCTTGGTTACAAGATTACGTGTCCTGGGAGGATTTGAGTGGCAAGATCGTGGCATTGGCTAAGGATCAACACGGATGTAAGTTCTTACAAAGGCTTATTGAGAGTGCAACAAGAGAACAAATTGATATGTTGTTTTACGAAGTGATCGACTATGTTGGGGGGTTGATAGCGGACCCATTTGGGAATTATGTTGTACAAAAGCTTATAGAGGTGATTAGTGAGGAACAGAGGACTCGGGTTTTGCGAATGCTTACTCGAACGGATTTTCAACTTGTGAGAATTTGTCTTGATGTGCATGGGTATGGACATACATTCGGCTGTTATTTTATTCATTCCTATTTTCTATGCAAATTGAGAATGTGGTATGTGTTTTTTGTTTTTTCTGTTTTCGCTTAAAGAAACTGACATACAGCGGCTAAGTTTGTTTCTTCTTACTATATTGACTGTTGAATTGATTTATTTATTCTTTTTGTCAATAGAACTCGGGCTGTACAGAAGTTGTTGAATTGTATTACAAACCCTCTGCAAGTTTCTTTAGTTGTATCAGCTCTAAACCAAGGTGCTATTGCATTGATAAAGGATTCCAATGGTCATCATGTGATCCAGCATTCTGTGAAGCATTTTTCTCCTCAAGACAATAAGGTGATCTTCAATTCATTGAACCCCCCACTCCCAAAAAACAAAAAGTTTGTTGGAGATCCTTTGTTATATCTCTGTAGTGTAATCTGGGTTATTATTTCATATTTCTGATGGAGTGTAATATGGGTTATTATTTCATATTTCTGATGGAGTGTAATATGGGTTATTATTTCTTGTCCTGCCGCTATTTATGTTTCTAGATAATTTGCTCCATCACTTCCCTTCAACGTGGTGATTATTTTACCTGTCTTCACATTTTGTCTCTGTCAAGTGATTTTCTTTATCGATCAAGTTCTTTTTTATACCTTTTTTTTATCTTTGAATAATTCAATTTTTCCATCTTTTAAGTTTTACTTAATGGATACTTAGTTGGGTTATAAACAATTCTAGATTTCCCCATCCACCTGAGCTTCTTAGAGGTGCAATTACTACTGCAATATTCTCCTTTCTGTATACGCATTTATGCTATAGCCTAAAATCCTGAATATTTAACCGTTTCCAGTGGAATCTTTCGTTTAAGATTGTGAAAATCTTTTATCTTTTATGGGGAAGAAAAGGGCTGCAATTTTTTCTCCCACACTATTATAACTTTAGTCACTTTTCTCGATAAAGGATAGCTGGCAACCTCTCTGTGGGTTGTCATAGGCTTCATAGCTTTGGCTTTTGATGGGTTCCTTTTGAAGAAGTTTAGTATAATTTATGCCATTGCTTGCACTTGATATATACTGGTTGCACTCATTATTCATCTGGCTGGGATCTATGATAACTTTATGGCTTCAGTTCTGTTGCTTCCCTTTTTTATTTAATTTGCAATAGAGTTTCAAATCAATTTGCAAGTTGAAATTCTCTTGTTTGAGTTGTCGTGAACATCTGATGTGAGCTATTGTAAACACCATATCAGAGATTTCTGAAGTAAAGTGATCGGGTGCTTTAGCTAATTATATAGCTGACTGAGGTTTGAAAATATCAGCACAGGGTTTCTTGGGTCAACTTTGACCCTCAACTGCTATAACAATTGAAAATTTTTTAGCAAAATTTTCAGAAATTCCATAAAAACTTGTAAATGAAACCCTTATTTTCGTATAGCTTGTATTGATTTTCTCCTGTATTTAATTATTTGTTTATTCCGTGCTCTCTTCATAGTTCATCCTTTAGAATATCAGGACTCCAACATGATATGAGTCCTATGCTTTGATTTGGATTAGAATCTTTCGGACTTTGCAAGGTTCTTCCTTTCTACAAGCTCTTTTTTTAGACTGGATGTTTAACTTATCAATTAAAAATAGACTCTAATTAAAATTTTATAAAATTATTATTTATATAATAATTTTCATGAATGATTCTAAACAATCAAGTATGTGTTTATCATAACTAGATAAGGATTTGCAAAGTTTTTTATAGGAATTTTCTAGACTATTTTAATATTTTTTTCTAGGCAAATGTATTTTTGAAATGCACCTAAAAAGAGAGTAGAGAATGTAAAACCAAATAGACATTTAGTTTATTATATGAATATACAACGATCTTTTCAAATTCATATGAATGGTATTTGCGTATTAGGTGTGAGCTTGTTAGCCTCTATTTAAAAAAAAATAAAAAGCAATAATATATCAGTCAAAGTCATTTTTTTTTAAAGATTAGCATAGTAAATTAAGAGTTGTGGTAGAAGAACACAATTTAAAAAGGTATTGGCAAAATAACACACTTTGATATTGTTGCACTTCTAAAGCTTGACTTTTACTAGATATTGCGTTTCAGAAATGCGATATGTTATGTAATTTAAACATATCTCCAGATATAAGAACACAAAAACACAAAAGCAATTCCCTTCTTCTCTCTCAACAAACTAATACCCTCAGCTTATATCTCTCTATAAAACCCAACCAAACACTTGTTTTCCCTTTAAAACGCCCAAAAACCAAACTCATCGTGGTCTTTAAGTATCATTGGTTGTTTTTTTTGTTAAAAATTTACTATTGTCGTCGCTGCCATCTTTGCCAACAAATCCTCATTCCTTTTTCTAGTCCTACCCTTACAAATATTACATTATTATGAATTTATGTTTGGTTTGGTTGAAATAAAATAATTATTTAAGTTAAATTTAGAGTTTATGGTGAATTTAGGATTTGTTAAATTAATAATAAATTAATTTTAAAAACCATCAATTAGAGTTGATTTGATATTGTCACGAGGTAAATTTTTGCTCCACAAAAAAACCCGTATGATAACCTAGTTTCTCACTAGACCCAGCCTTCCCTTACCAATTTCACTCGTGTTTGCCTCACTAGAGAGGTTTTCCCAAGTTAGATTTTAACTTATAGATTAAAAATTGACTCTAATTAAAATCTTATAAAATTATTATTCATATAATAATTTTTATGAGTGATTCTAAGCAATCAAGTATGTGTTTGTTATAACTAGATAAGGATTTGCAAAGTTTTTTATAGAAATTTTCTAGACCATTTTAATATTTTTTCTAGGAAAATGTATTTTTGAAATGCACCTAAAAAGAGAGTAGAGAATGTAAAACCAAATAGACATTTAGTTTATTATATGAATATACAACGATCTTTTCAAATTCATATGAATGGTATTTGCGTATTAGGTGTGAGCTTGTTAGCCTCTATTTAAAAAAAAATAAAAAGCAATAATATATCAGTCAAAGTCATTTTTTTTTAAAGATTAGCATAGTAAATTAAGAGTTATGGTAGAAGAACACAATTTAAAAAGGTATTGGCAAAATAACACACTTTGATATTATTGCACTTCTAAAGTGTGACTTTTACTAGATATTGCGTTTCAGAAATGCGATATGTTATGTAATTTAAACATATCTCCAGATATAAGAGCACAAAAACACAAAAGCAATTCCCTTATTCTCTCTCAACAAACTAATGCCCTCAGTTTATATCTCTCTGTAAAACCCAACCAAACACTTGTTTTTCCTTTAAAACGCCCAAAAACCAAACTCATCGTGGTCTTTAAGTATCATTGGTTATTTTTTTGTTAAAAATTTACTATTGTCGCCGCTGCTATCTTTGCCAACAGATCCTCATTCCTTTTTCTAGTCTTACAAATATTACATTATTATGAATTTATGTTTGGTTTGGTTGAAATAAAATAATTATTTAAGTTAAATTTAGAGTTTATGGTGAATTTAGGATTTGTTAAATTAATAATAAATTAATTTTAAATACCATCAATTAGGGTTGATTTGATATTGTCACGAGGTAAATTTTTGCTCCACAAAAAAACCCGTATGATAACCTAGTTTCTCACTAGACCCAGCCTTCCCTTACCAATTTCACTCGTGTTTGCCTCACTAGAGAGGTTTTCCCAAGTTAGAAGACAAATAGAATACACAAGTAGAATGAGTTAATCAAAGTGCATAATAAGCTTTATAGGAACTCCTTTCCCACCTTTATTAATCTTATAAATAAAGGGAAGTATACACAAATCCATATGGTGCTATGCATAAAGATTGCATGCTATACCAAGCTTACATTCCTATTTCATGTTACAAATCATTGTTATTGCTGGGTCTTGTAGCCATCTAGCTTAAATGGCTATTGTCATTCTATCCTTTACCTTTAGTGAATAAATTGTCATTGGAAGTTTCAAGTGCAGAAGGTACACAAGTACTTTACCTCTCTATTTCTAAATGTCATGCATGTCGAGAACAAGTGCTTCAAACTTTTGATAGCAATATGAAGAGTTGAATATGAAAATAAGTTTACTTAATGATAAATTAATTATTTTAATTAATTATGTGTCGCGTTTAATTTTGGATAAGTTGATGAATTAGAGATTTTATATAGATTGTTGGAATCAGCTAATAATTTAATTTACCATGTTTGATGATTTTATACAATAAAGTATGAATGCAGTAGAATTATAAAAAATTACATGTTGCATTAAATTGTTGATAATTTGATGAATTTAATATTTTCATTGATTAATTTTAATTTGATATAAATTTGGGTTTGATTTAATTTATTGATCATAAAAATATCCATTAGGTTTTGTATCATGAATTTTAATTTTGATGAAATCTTATTGAATTTGTCATGAATTTTGTCTGTTAGGGTTGGGGTAATGTAATTTTGTTAAAATTACATCCAATTGATCATAACCTTTTTTTTTTTTTACAAAATATAATATATTTATATTATGTCATTATAGTGGCTCTATTATTCATGATGTAAATGGTAGTATTATATATAATGATGGGAGTAGTTTGTTGTTAAAGGGTAATTTAGGCATATTATATGAAAAAATAAAAGCAATTATTTTGTCATGAATTCGGTGAAATTATAATGATATTGATGTTGAAATAACTTAAAGGTGTCAAATTGGTGAATATCAAAGTTATCCTGTAAAAATTATATGTAATAGTAGTTTTAAGATAATGATTAATTCTTTTCATCTAAAATGGTTTGAACATGATAAATATCATGGCGTGCACGATGTCGAATGATAGTTTTTTTTCTCCTGAATCAAAAGGGTTTTATATGTGTTGTGGTAAATCATAAAATTATGATATGGACGATTCAAAAGTTGTTACATAATATTATACTAATTAGAAAACCTAATGGTCTACAAGAGTTTAGGTAAGTAGATTACTTGTGCATGTAAAAGACACATTACTTTCAATGCATCTTACCTATTGTAAGCTGCATTGTTGATTGATTATTATTTTTTTTTCTAAATATTATTTTTATTCATTAGTCCATTTAAAGTTAAAAAAAGGTCATAATCTCATCAAACTAAAAGTAACCATTCTAATGTCCAAAATTTAATGGTGCATTTACTTTTATTTGTATTTTTAATAGGTGAAGATATATTTTACATTGTAATTTTATATCCTCAAATATTAAAATCTATAATTAATTTCTAATATTTTATTTTGTTTTATTTTATTCATTTAATTTAATATCGAGAATATGCATTACACTGTAAAATTTATATCTTGAATATTAATTAAACAAATTAGTTTTTGTGATGTTTTTAAAATTTTAGTCAAATCCTAATAGATAATTATAAACTGGTTATAATACTTATTGATTGATTTTTGCCCTTATATTAAATAAAATGGTTGGAGAATATATAAGGGACCCATAAATAATTTAAAATAATACCTGAATTATTTTAGAATTTTTAGAAATCATTTAGGGTTTGGTTGTCAAAACATAATAATGTGTTTTAAATTAAACAATATACTAATTAAAAACAAGTTATTATCTCACCATTAGCCAACTTAATAATCCAACAAACAAACAATCAATTATCAAATCTTGTTAATCTAAAAAATTATATTCAAATTTTATACTATTTAAACAAATCGACACAAGCCCAAACATAATTCAAGAATTAATGTCCAAAAAGCAATAACAACCTAAAAAATAAACTCATAATTCAACATAAATAATCAAATCACTTTAAAATAAAAAACACATTTAAATCAAATTAATATTGTCCAAATGGTTTAAATAATATACATAACAATCAACATTATGTCCCAAATTTCACAATATTATAATAATTCATTCAAAAAAATATTTTAAGGTTATGAATCAACCTTTCAAGGTGTTTAGAGTATCTAAGAACTACTGGAATTAAAGTTAGAGGACCGCTAGAATAGTGGTGGCGCCTGTATCCACACGTTGCCATTATTGGTAGTGTGTGGGTTCACGCGTTGCCGCAAGAGAGGCAAGAAGGATGAGGTGATTTGGAATGGTTTCTCTTTTTTTTTTCTTTTCATATAATGATGGTATCATTAATGGAGACCTGAAAAAGAAAAGACACATATACAATAAGTTTCGATTTCCTTATTATTCTCATAAAAGGATCTTCTTTTCTAGCCCTCTCTTGGATTATTACTAGTGTTTGTTATTGTCAATGGCTAGTGTAAAGGTATGTTGGTTGATGGTTAAGGTTGGGAGGGGAGGTGGTCATAAATCATGAAGCCAAGGCAAAGGTTTTTTTTAATCATGAGTTGGAGTTACTTAGTAGAGGCTATCACGGGTTAGCTTATTTAAAATAGAAAAGTTGTCTGTAAGGGTTAAAAATAAAAAATTGCATGGTGATGTGGTAATGGTACGTCAGTTTGACAATAAAGATTGAAAGGTTTTGATAGTTGGTTATTAAATTTAGGTTACTGGCATTGAGTTTTCATATTAGTGAGGATAGAAAAACTAGAGTGGTGGTTAATAGTTATGAAGATAGGCCGAGTGGTTTGTAGGTATGGTTCATACGATGACCGACGTTAATAAGTCTTTGTTATCGCCAATAGCAGTGATGGGTTGTGGTAGAGATTGATTAATTTTGGTGTTTGTTTTAGTTGATGTTAGGAACAAAGCTATAGGGGCTGGACGATATAACATTAATGTTTCTTTTCCATTGCGGGTGACTTGCTAAAATGAAGAAAAGTGATGAAATGGGTTAATGTTTAAGGTTAATTTGATGTTTCTATTTAAGTTTATTTTCTCTAGCAAATTTTAACTAAGAGAGAGAAGAGATCAGATAGATGTTGTATTTGGCTGGTTTGATTTAAAAAAATGAGAGGTTGTCACAGTTGTTAGGTGTTATTATATGTGGGCTAGGAAATCGCTGCTATAAAGAGGAACTACTAGTATGGGTTACTATCAAAGGAACTTTAATTGGTTGGAAGTTGAAGCAAGTACGTCATTTTGAGGTGGAACTACCATAGGTGATGGCTTGTGATGCCAGGTAAGGTAGCTGGTGGTGGTTGATGGCGATAATAATGGCTGAGAAAAGGTTTTGGATAACGAGAAAGGGAGAGAATGTTGCTAACGTGTGTGTGTTTTTTTATCATTTTTTTTACTTATTTTTTAATTTTTATGTTGGAGAGTGTGAGTTTGTACAAAATGTAGAATTTTTTTGTTTTTTTCTATAAGAATCTTTATTGTTGTTATATTTGTTTCTTTTTACAGGAGAGGGAGTGTTTTAGTGATTATATGTGGTTTTTTCCCTCTCCCTCCCTTGTGAAATTTCTTCACCATTTTATTGGCAATTTTTTTTTTGTTTTGTCTCTTCTTTTCTAATTGCTTGGTGATCACAAATCAAATTCACTTTAGTCCTTAATTTTTTTTTCCCTAC